AACCCCAGAGGCAACAGCATTGGGAGGTGGGGCGGTAATCGGTCGCGAGGGTGGAGGCCTCACAAACAGGAGTAGTGCCCCTGTTGGAAGAGGCGCTGAGAGTTGCCCCCTCTCTGCTCTCAGCCAGGGAAACGCGCAGGGAGTCGGCCACCGGGCAGGCCCCTCGCTCCGGCACCGCCACCGGGACTGCGCAGTTTGATGGCAGCAGCCAGCCCTAAAACCCTAATAGCCTGGCAGCATGTTGACCACACTAGAGTCTTTCTGTCGTGGACAGGACGAGATTTCCTCTCCCTAGAACAGGCCCCTTTCTGGGTTTGGATTTGCCGTCCCTGCCCGTCTGGGTTTAGTTCAACACCCACGTATTGCGGGCCTGCCACGTGACGGGCATCGCGCCGGGTGGAAGAGGGCACAAGAAGACCGAGACGCGACTATGTGTCCCCAGAGGTGTGGAGAAGGAAATGGGCCTGTTTAAAGATGCTTTTAAAACAATAAGAATGTAACAGTTATCTTTAGATGAAACTAACGCTGAATTTTTCCTCTTTTACATTCTTGTATTTACAGTATTTCAATGACATATATTTAAATTTACCCATATTTCACACACTATTTACATAATCAGAATACAGAAAATTCTTTTTAAAAAAGAATTAACAGCATAGAAGTAGTGCTATTTAGCCTTGAATCAGGAGTTTCTAGAAAGGCCTCCCAGAGGACACACCAGATCTGGGTTAATGAAGAGGAAGAGCCAGCCAAGGAAGGACACACACACACACACCCCCAGGTAGAAGCGGCGTAAACAAAGGCCTAGCAGTGGGAGGAGAGGCACTGTCCTGGCTGACTGGTCTCCAGGAAGCCTGCCTGCTTCATTGCTGCAGCCCCAGAAACCGGGGCAGGCAGGTGGACTCCAGCGGAGCCCCCAGCACTCGCCTAACAGGTGCTCTGTGAACAGGTGTGACGTTGAAGATGGATGAGGCGGGGGTGGGAGGAGAAGGGCGGGAGTCAGGGGGCAGAGAGCACCGTTGCCTAGGAAGACAGATTGAATCCATGAGGCCATGGGAGCCCCTATGGTTTTAAAAACATTAAAGAAATTTTTACTGTACCTGACATGCTCTGTTTTAGAAAAATTGGTGCTGTTCAGGGACAGATGATTCCCTGCAGTTTAAAAATTGATGTTGTGTTAGTATCGTCCTTAAATCACTGATGCTCACATTAAGGTGCCTACTACCTCCTGGCTGTAGGTTAATGAGCCCTGATGCAGATTCGTCAATACCAATAAAACCCTGGCACGAACATATTACCATGGGAAGACTATCCTTATGGGCTATATAAAGCAGAGAAACAATGGATCCCTCAATCACAGGCATTTGGTAAAGGCTGTTCTATCGGCCTCTTACTCCTGGCTTTCAGCAGTAATACACCCACTTCCCGAGCCCCAGCGAGCACTCAGCCAGAAAATGCAAGACACAAAATATGAGCATTTTAACACCATCGCCATTTTACTGGATGGCAAGTTATGGTGGGAACTAAAATACTTTTTACGTGAATTTTTGTATTTGTGACTTTATATATGTACATATATAAATTATGTACATTATGTATAAAGTCAGAAATATGAATTTCTATTTACTGTTTTTCAATAAATGGCTCTGTTATTCAGCTCACCAAGTTTTATAGAATGCCATTTTCTACAATTATGCAAGAATCCTAGTGGTTTTCCCTTTTAAAATATTTAAAAGTGAATATTTCACTTAAAAGTGAAATTTAAGCCTAATTCCTACAGAGAATAAACTTTTATAACCACTACCTTCTGACATAAGGAAGATTAATGACTGTTTTCCTTTTCTGTTTTCTATTGCAACCCTTCATGCAAATGAGGCCGATATGAGGAGCTTGGCACATGGCAAAGTTGGTATGACTTTCTTAATTGATTTGGCTGGATACCCCTGGGCATTAACTTCACCCTCAAAAGAGCATCCTTCAGAGGTAGGAGCCAAATTCCTAGCGATGAGCTTCTCTGGTGACTACCAACTACCAATCTGCCATGAGGTGGATGTGTGGGTCGGGTGGTGGTCTCTGGCCACCTGGAGCAGCCTCTCAGATGTGGGACTAAATGGTTTGCAATGGACCAGGAAAGGCAAAGGGAGGCCCAGGCTGCCTGCAGGTCCATGTAGGTAGTGAGTATAGATTTTGGGAGACAGCTTCTGCTACACCCGAGGTCCCCATGGGAGAGGCCCCCATGGGAACAAATGGGAGTATGCCAGTGAGAGGAGCAGGATCAGAGGGAAGGAGGAACAGCACTTCCCAGGCCTGGCACCTGGCTCAACTTCAAATTTGGAGTTGCCTGGGGTCTTCAGAAAGGGCTCCTTTCCTTCAGCTTCTGTGATGGATGCCTGTCCTAGAGTCAGATGTACTATGACTGATACAGAACATCGAGTGGTCGGCTGGCATCAAGTGATGAAAGACATGCTCTCATTGTACGAAAAGGGCATACAGTGGGCAGTGCCTTTCGTGCCATTAAAAATGTTAAATTTCTGTATTTAAAAAAAAATTCACAAAATAAAAGGGAGATTAAATTAGGAAAATATTTGCAAATGCTTACATCTGATTATTGAGTGGGAAAGAGTAGAGTAAAAATAGTTCTTATAGTTTGACCTCAGTCTATAAAAAAATAAAACAGATGCATTTTTAAAAGGAAGACAGTTGTTTAAAAGAAGCCAATCTTACCAGTGATCATATAATTAATTTTTGCATTTACCCTTTTCTGAAACTTCCATATTTTCTGCAATAAGCATTTATTTATTTTGTAATTTAAAAATTTCAATAGTGAAAAAAGATAATTATATTCACGCCTGTGAATTATTTTTAAGACATGACTTAATAGAATTAAAACCAACTATAAGCCCTATATTTACTGTAACTTTATCTTTGTTATTTTTTTAAAAAAAACTGGAATTAACTTAAATATCAGATACTAGTGGAATAGCCAAATAACTCTACAAATATTGTGAAATCATTCAAATGATAATTATATTAATATTATAAATATGATTATGATAGAATGTTCAAAGAAAAAAGGAACAAGATGTATGTGTATTATGCAACTATGTAAAATATATCTTCATTTGGCAAGCACTTGGAGAAGTGTGTAAATACAAAAATAATTACACTAGCAAATGAAGAGTATGGATATATATTTTTTAAGTTCTTAGATTGTTCTTTGTATTTCAAAAGGGTAAAATGAGATAGATGGTCCTGAAGCAAGCACTTTCAGCATAGTTCAGGGCACTGGGAGCTCCCTGCTCTGTCTTATGCTGGAGTCTGGGCCTCCCGATTCAGTCCACATTCAAGCCTCGTTATAGGGCAGGTTTGAATTAGTTGTCTTGAATTATGTCTCAAATTACAAGTCCTCATCTACCCGGGGTAGAAACCCAAGTATGACACTGAGAGATTCAAAGTAACAGTGGTGAAAACAATTGGAGGGTTCTGTGAAAGTCCAGACAATGGAATTCTTAAACCTGTTACAATGTCTCACAATCTATTTCCACCAAAGACCAAGCTTGTTAAGACCAGAAATCAATAGAGTCTTTTTTGTTTCCCCTCTAAGAAATCATGATTACGCACCAGATGCAACCCGGTTAGGCTAATCTAATTTACGAAGTGCTATCCATGACTACGATGTTAAGACACTGCTTATTTCGACTAATAAAATTCTGAAGGAGGAATCAAATAAGAAAGTCCTCTAGTTTATTCTTCCTTTAACAACAGGCAATAAGTGGACAAGCTCACCCCAACAGAAGCCCAGGGACCCCAGGAAGAAGTGCTGCCAGGTCCATTAGGTGGGCCCCCGGGAGACAGCGAGGTCCAGATACAAACTGCGGCTGTTCCCATGAGAGACCGGGCATGGATTTTGGGAGCCAATTAGCAACCTTTGTAACAAGAGGCATCAAAGATTTGTAATAAGGGGTTGATAAATTTATGCTGTGGTCATGGGCACTTCTGGTGGGCCCAGAAGCATGGGCAGGAAAGGGCGTGGGGGGGGGGCAGCCACAGCGAGGAGCCGCTGGAGACCTAGGAGCCAAAACACGCTCAGGGGCTAGACCACGGGTGGGCACCGGGGGGATCCTCGAGAGCGCAGCTTTATGAGCGATCGGTGGACACCAAGATCCATGACGACAAAATCACCGATATGCTGTCCCTTTTGTGGGCCAAGGAACTAAGTGCAGGGAGAGACACGTCTGCGAAGGTCGCTGCTGGAAGGTGCGGGGCAGCGAGGCAGCGCGGGGCAGGGAGCCCAGTGTGACCCAGAGCTGGGGCAGGAACTGCGGGGTGACAGCTATTCCCGCAGACGCACTGGCGCTCGGCCTCAGGCTGTTTTTTTTCAGGTGTTTCCCAAACCAGATATGGAGTGTTCCCCATGCTTGGAAATCTTTGCACTGGAGCCGTCGATCTAACTCGCTTTCTCCATTTCACCCAGTTAACCCCCCTCATTCACTGGCCCTCGGAGCTGCGTGAGGGCAGGGCCGGGCGTCCCCGTCTGCACCCCGTCGCTGCACCCCGAAGCTGCACCCCGTCTGCAGCCCGTGCCTGCAACAGCGCCTGGCGTTGGCGGCCGCCCCGAGGCAACTGAGCTAAGGCAGAAAGGCTGGTTGGGAGTTTTCAGCTCTCTCTTCATGGTTTGCAGCAAGGTGGAGGCCTACGCGGTCTCAGTGTGAAGAAAACAGACATGCTTGGAGGGGGGCATCGCTCCTTCCAAGGCACAGCCCAGGCCTGTGCCCGGCGGCGGAACCCCAGGGCGGCGGAACCCTGAAGGCGCCGGAACCCGGAAGGCGGCGGAACCCTGAAGGCGTCGGAACCCGGAAGGCGGTGGAACCCGGAAGGCGGTGGAACGAGGTCTGGGATCTCCAGGAGCCGTGAAACCTTGGATCCGGCGGAACCAATGGGCGGCGCCCGCGGAGCCGCCCGGACTGAGTTTGGGACGGAAGTGCATGGCGCCGCTTCCGGACTGCCGGTCGCCTGGAGCGCCAGCTGGGCCGCGGCGATGTTGCCGCTGACGGTGAACTTCAAGGTGTCGTCCCGCACCCTCACCGGGGCCCTCAACGCCCACAACAAGGCGGCGGTGGACTGGTGAGGGCGCCGCGCTCGAGGCCGCGGGCCGGCCGGAGTTGGAGGGGAAGGGGAACAGCCGGAGGTTTCACCCCGACGAGTTCGGCCTCGTCCAGAGCGGGCGCCGCCCTCACGTTAAAGGGACTTTGTCCTCGGAGCTGGAGTTGTTGTTGCTATAAAAGCAGTAAATACCCCGCGTGGGAACGGTCCCTGGGCAAATGTGTCAGCCCCTTTCCTCGCCTCTGTGTGTCCTCTTCTCCCCGCACCTGCCTTAAGCGTCCC